ATATTGATATTAAATACTCAAACCCTTAATATTTATGATATTTGAACTCGAAACCTGAAAATACAACAACAATTTTAAAAATTAGTTATTTAAAATATTATCATTAGAAATATATTAAATATTTGTCATTAGATAAATATTTTTTTATTAATTTAAAATAAATATAAAAATAATTTTTAATCATTTTCAATTCAAGAATATTTTATTCATCAATAATGTATTTTTAATATATTTTTAATAATGTAATTTTAAAAAATCAAAAATATAATATAATATTTTTTCGAGCTGCTCACGAGTTTTTCGAGTCGAGTATCGAGTAGCTCGTTTCTGCTCGTTAAAAACTCGAGTCGAGTTCGAGCTCGAGTCGAGTCCATTCGATCCGAGTATTTATCGAGCCAAGATCGAGTCGATCTCGAGTAGCTCGTCTCATTTACAGCCCTAGTGCTACCGAATTACTGGTTTAATCGGTCGAATCGATCAGATCGATCGTAAGAATCAGACGACGTTATAATTATTTAAAAAATTAAAAAAAATATTAAAAATATTTAATAAAAAATCAAAAAAATTTAGGTTGAACCGGTTCATGGTCCAGTCCGATTCGAGAGGTTCAAAACCGATTCCTTACGGTTCACTAGAATCGATTCAACTGGAGTAGAATGGACCGGACAAGACAACAGTTTCTAATTAAACCGACCGATCCGATCCGATTTTCAAAACGCCGAGTTCAATGCAAATTGAAGTGGGACCGACCCGAGTGGTTTGAGATTTTTGTTTCAGTAGGTGAAAATATCGTTATAGGGCGGGTCGTAATTTTATCGGATCAATTTATAATTTAATAAATTTAATTTAATTTTATTAATTTTAGTCTTAAGTTAATGTAAGAGTATAGGTATTTAAGTTTAAATTTTTATTATATAAAATATCATAATGTGTGAATTTTAATTTTATTGAATATATATTTTAATTATTAGTTTGATTGTGTTTCGTAACGCTTAATTCTAATGATAGTATATTTTGATATATAATTTTTGTGCAATTATTCTCATGATTGTTATTTGAATATGTATTATTTATATTTATGATTATGATGACAATTTATATATACTTTTATAATTTTTAAAATATTAAAAGACAAATTTAATTCTATATAAAATTTAACATTTCAATCGTATACCTCAATATGTGACTTCAACTTCTACAAGAACAAGCGTAATGAACTTATAATTTCATCAGGGTTGGGTAATAATAATGTCAGGGTACCTTGACACCCCAAGTTTTAGGAAATTTATATTAAGCCCTTCAAATATTTTAAAACTTTTAAAGATATTATCTTAAAATTTTTAAAAGTTCTACAAGTTTTGAATATTTTCTAACTAAGCCCCTCAAAATTATCAAATGAAATTTTTAATTTTTTTTGAAAAAAATAATAATTAGACTCTCGTATTAAAAAAAAATCTAATTAAGTCCCTTAAAAGTGTTCTTTTTGACTTTTAAGTTTTAATTAAATATTAATTATATTAAACTCTTAAATTATATTAAAAACGTACGTACATACTCAGTAATAGAATTATTTAAAGAAATTAATATCAATAATTTAATATATTGATAATATAAATTAAGTAATACAATTTAATAAAATTAAACAAAAATTTCAAAAAGGATAAATTATATGTTTAGTATCACAACTATTATTTTTCTTCCATTTTGGTTACTCAATTATTTTTTTTATTTCAAAATATACTTAACGTTTATTTTATTTTGGTCACCTAACGTTAAAAAATTAATGATGATACCAATGTGTCACCATAAGATAATGTTATGTCATCATTGAAAAACTAAAAATACCATGTCTTCAGTTATATTAATTTTTTAACGATAGGTTACTCAAATGAAACTAAAGTTAAGCTTTTAAGTATGATTTGAAACAAAAAAATAGCTTGGTTACTAAAATAGAATAAAAATGATAGTTGGGGTCGTAAACTTGTAGTTTACCCTAAAAATGACTAAAAATGAAATGGTCACTAAAATTAAGGAACTACATGTTTAGTACTTAAACTATCAGTTTTGGTCGTTTTAATACCTAAATTATCAATTTTTTACAAAATCATACCTAAAGTTTAGTTTTTGTTTAATTTTAGTACTCCACTATTAAAAAAAATTAGTTTTTTTTTTTCATTTTAGTATATGTTCAAAATTTAAAAGTTTTGAAAAATGTTAAGTTTAGGTATTGAAACGGACCAAAATTTATAGTTTAGGTACTAAACGTGTTAATTTTTTAACAACATGTACTAAAATGAAAACTAAATTTTAGGTATTATTTTTAAAAAATTGAAAGTTTAAGTATTAAAATTAACTAAAACTAATAGTTTAGATACTAAATATGTAGTTTACCCCTAAAATTAACTGCTCTTAACTGGAGTGTTAGGCATTTTTAATGGGCTAATTTTGTACCAACTTCAACTAAATCTCCACGGCAAAATTAGCCCAATTGGCTAGAAGGAGAAAAAATTAACCAATTAAGTCATCTTCAAAATTAATTTAGAATCTACTACAAATGATATAGTGTAGGATATATTCGTCACGTTCATATGACGATTTTGCTCAAATAATATTTTTTTTATTCTAACCGTCATGTCAAAATGCCAAATTCTAATAAAATACAATTTTTATTAATTTTGTCATGTCGAAGTGATAAGTTCCAATGAAAAATATATTTTATTGGAACTCGTCATATCCATGTGACGAGTATCAAGTGACTATAACAAGTGTCGTAGTTCCTAAAATAAAATATATGGTGTCATATTGGACGAAATTATTAGTCCGCCTACACTATGGGGTCATTTTTACCAAATCTTCACGAATGATTATTGGGCTGCATTCATTAGTCCGTCAAAGTTTGAGATAAATAATTTTTTCCTTTTATTTTATATATATAATAAAAGGAATAATTACTAAATTAGAAATATATATAATTAATTAAATAATTATAATGAATTATTTCATATTTAATTTTATATTTTTTTATTAAGCTAAGACGATTATAAAATTGTATTTGTTCTAAATATTCTCAATCGTTTGAGAATGAAGGCTCAATCACTTATACTACAGCCGTCGATGTTCGAATTCAAAACCTTTAGGAATAATAAATATTCCCTTAATCACTGAGTTAATTTGGTTCGTGTATATTTAATTTTATATTAAAATTTAGTCAATTAAAATCACTCATACTGCAGTCGTTCGAATTCGAAACATTTAAGAATAATAACTATTCTCTTAACTGTTGAGTTAATTTGATTTGTATATTTAATTTTAGTATTAAATTTAATCAATTAAATATACACAAATTAATGGGTCCATCCAATTTAAATAATTAAAAGCGACAATCAAATCATATTAATTGTCTAAAACGAATAAAAAATAATAAAACTTAAATTAAATCATTTTAACTCAGTCATTTAATTTGGTTTAACCTATTTTTTTTTTGTCCACCTCTAACTAAACGTATCAAACTCAACATATTATCAACATATCCTCTATGACGGGTGTTATACATATATATTAAAGTATAAATATATTTTAATTTTCAAACATCCATTGACAACACATATATACTCTACAAACACAACTGCTCGAACCTAAAACTTCTGAGAAAACAATATTCAATTTACTATTGAGGTTACTTGATAAGTTCACATATTTGTATATGTTAAATTTATATTTCTCTACTATAATATTAAATTATATGAACCAATATTATTACGTTCCATCCACGCTTTGCTACATAATATCCACAATACTGGGTCGCCCCGGATTCCTTAGAACCTTGAACATTGGAGGGATCAATATCGATGCCTCGGTTGATTTCTGAGACGGTCGACGACCATACAAGAATCTTGGTTATCATGGTCTAACAGGAAAGAATCTTGATTTTAATGGGGGAAAAGAACCATAATTATAGACGTTTCTCTTGTTTTCATGAGTTAGATTGTCGATCGGGTCACTATCGTACATTCCGAAACCACAAATCCCGGAAGTCGAAAGATGTGCTTAGGAACCAGTAAAGAACTCGCGTGCTTCCTGGTAGCGATCTGATACGACATTATAGAGGGGATGGATGGGTTCCAGAAGATTTGAATACGGACCTAACAAGGCACGAGGCAAAGGCGGAGAATCCTCGCTTTCCGACCAGCTACGTTGACACACGCAAATGCCACTTAAACAGTAACATGTGTGATAATGGTCTCTCGACTTACCGGGTTTGTCTCTCAGTCCACCATTCAGATCCTGATTTCACAAACAACAGGTACATGTGAATGAGGCTTAAGTTGATTCCATGTTCAAGGACTAAAGTTTTGACAAAATAGAAATGAGAGATTGTGCCTCACAATCCCTACACTACAATGAAGTTTTGGATTTAGTCCCTTCACTTCAAAAGTTCCTTTACATATTCGATTCAAAAATCACAGTCCAATCACAGACGATATTAGTTTTTTTTTCGTAGAAAGTTGCCACCACGCATGTGTAATCATACCAGCTTCAGAAGCAAAATTATTACAAGCTCGGCAAGCATATCTTAAAGCAAACAAATTAAAAGAGGAATAGAATATCACCCACCAGAGTAACAACCATCAACCAGTTTATTAGTTCTGCCCTGAAATCCACCCTCTACTCCTCGTCGGAAAACCTCCCAATCCTATAGAAGAGCTCGGATTACAGAATGCTACCAAAATTTGTATGAAGGTAATAAACTTGATGAATTGCAGTGAAATGGCCTTACAATTAGGCTAGACAAATCCAGACGATAGACCTCTTTGATTAGAATCATTGTAGCCAACCCACAAAAGGTGTACCTGACAAACAAATTAACAGAACTTCAGGAGGCTCTCATACTGGATATCGACAATTCCAGAGCAACATATTAGTATATAGTATACATGAAGTACACAAAGAATCAAATTTCAAGGAAAGGTACTAAATTTATAATTTGAGAGCTTCAGAATCAGGTTCCCCAGAAATGCCACCTTCGTAAGTCTGGCAACTTCAAAGAGATGAAAAAACAATTTCAGTCGCATGGATGACACAACAGGAATCAAGACACAGCTCGGCTATACATTAAGAATATGCATTCAGACCAAGGCCAATGTATTCCATGATATTATTTTAACTTTTATGCCGAAGACCAAGTCCAGTGATGCCATTGAAGCAGAGTGACAATGGTGTACTAATAAGGACACTAAGAGCTTTCTTTTTTCTTTCTGGTATTTAAGGTTTTGAGGAATGGACCCTGGTCACTGAAAAAAGTGGCTAGCACTCTATGAACAGACAACACAGCTATTGCCAACACTAAGAGAGTATGAATTTTCCTTGGTAATAACAGTATATTCACCCTAAACGAAGCACATCACTCAGTCCCGAGAAGCATCCAGGTTTACCACAACTTCAGAACAACAGCAAGTGAAGAATACAACAAAAACACATTGAGGCTCTAGTCTCTCTTTGCACTATTAAAGATTATGAGACCTGACTCATTGATTCTTTCCTGAGATGTTCAGATAAAGCAGTGGTACTGGAGAATGAGGAATATGAGTAGAGCTTCCAACCAACCTTGAAGCACCTAAGACGAGGGTTTAACAAATTTTACGCATGCCACATCCATAAATGCTCTTTCTAGCAGCAACAAACCTTAGAAAATGGACATTGAAAACAATTAAACCTAAAACAGATTTTAAGACGAAGAATTGGAAATAAAAATTAGCTACCTTAAATAAGTACCTCTATAAAAGGTGGAAGCTAGATACTGACCATAAGATGTAATTTCCAACATTTTCACCAAGTTCATCATCCAAAATATTCGGAAGACTTACAACCTGGTCAAGAAAAGATGCTGGCTTACCGCAAAGACAGAATAACGTTGAAAAAAGTGGCATATAATTTATAAACAGAAACAGGTTACATATATCATAAATGCAACCCAAAGGAAACAATAGATCTATAATAATTAATGGAGTTTTCCAAACAAAAAATAGTGATAGTATTAACTTTTCAACATCACTGCATACTTACTGAGATGGCTGTATAACATGCTCGAACATCAATTTCTCCACCATCATGCCTTCTGCGAAAAAAATGATCAAGAAAACTTAAAATTACAATCTGAACAGTGTTTCAAGGAAAAGGATGGGAAAAAAGTTGCATTTTCCTCATAGAAAGAACTTGATGCCATGTACTTAAATGTAAGTAGATTCAACTGTAAAGAACATGAACCTCCAAATACAAAATCATTCTTAACAGAGTAACTTCAAAGACGAAAGCAAATTACAATAAATCTGTTAGAAGGTGGCTTCAAAAAAAGATAAAATCAAACCTGAAACCCCCACTATCATCTTTCATTTGCCGCATAAATGAGTATAGCTTTTTCTCTGAAGGAAATTATAAATTTCTGTTAAATAACTTTCAATAAAAACAAATGAAGGAATATTAGAGCTTGTTTTAAGAAAAACAATCTCTAGAGTGGTAAGTTTCTAAAGAAATCACAGATTTAGTCTCACTAGAGATTGTTTTTCTTAAAATGAATATTATCTCATTTAAGATTGTTTTTTCTCAAAACAAATTTTGTCTTTTATGAGATAGTTTCCTTCGAAACATAAATATTAAGATCATTTCACAGGAGATTATTACTAATGAAACATTTTTCCTCACTCATAATATTTTTTTTAGCTTTTCCTGAAATCCCTTCTTGTGAAAATCAAATTATATCTCCCTTGATATAAAAAGATCATTATCAGCCTTACATGGGGCCATCATTTCTAACAAAAAGTAATAAGTAATAGAAAAAAATATTCATACGTGTTAATCAAGGACAATTGTGTCTTTTGCAGGTTAAAACCCATCATAGAAGAAGATGTATCAATATTTCTAACGAGGAGTTCATAATGAGAAGAACTCTTCCTAATTGGAAGGAGAAGTTCATGATGAGAAGAACTTATTCAACCTGCCCGATTCTATCGCAGAATAAGGTGGATCACTATTTCCATTAAAAGAGTTCATAATAAGAAGAACTCACCCATAAAAGGAGACGAAGTTCATAATGAGAAGAACTTGTTCAACTTGTCTAAATACATCACATAAGGATATGGATCAGCATTTCCAATGGAAGGGTTCATAATGAGAAGAACTCGTCTGATAAGGGAAAAGTTCATAATGAAAAGAACTTACCCAACCTTTGTTCGATTTAATCACAGAAAGAGGTGGATCATTATTTCTACCAGAGAGTTCATAATGAGAAGAACTCATCCGATGAGGGAGAAGAAATTCATAATGAGAAGAACTTGTTCAACCTTTACTCGATTTCATCACAGAAGGAGTTGGATGAGCATTTCTGGCAGATAGTTCATATGAGAATAACTCATCCAATAAGGAAAAGAAGTTCATAATAATAAGAACTTGTAACTCAAGAATTCCAGCAAAAGCCGGATAAAAATTATGCTTATTATCTTTGCTTCATTCCTGTTACACAACAATAACCAAAGAGGGGCAACTGTAATCACCATTTTTATCCTCTAAAATTATTTATTATTATTATTATTACAATAAACCAATCCAAGCATAAAAATTAATTAAAATTACAATAAGGCCAAATAATAGCCCACATGTGAAAGGCAAAGAGAACTGGGGTTTCACCCTTTAGCTCTGGCGCCACCACATATCTCTGTCGTTGGATTAGATTTAATCCAACGACCCAGATCGACCCATAATAGAGTTTTACCCTAACCCTTGGTGTAGCCACTTGTCAAATTCGTTTGTTCACACGCCCAAGCGCCAAACTGATAAACTATCCATGACTCATTATCGGTTCCCCATACAAGATGCTGACATCACCACCTTCAGATCCTTCGTCTGATTTGTCGTCGGTCACTGCAGGAAATGACAAGAAAGGCCTCGGGTAAAAAATTTTACCCACCTCTTCCTCGCATCACCACCCCTCGATCAGAGATCCCATAAGTAAAAAAGGGAAAAAAAGAAAAAAATTAAGATTTGACGCTTTCCATTTGCACGCAACACCAAAGGTAAAAAGGGGGCAATCTTTTATTATAAAATGAACAAAAAACCGATGCTAAGGGGAGGCCTTTTTTTTACGGAAATAAAGAAAAAAGAGGGGAGCCATTTTCAGAAAGAGAAGAACGAAAAGAAAGAAAGAAAAAATGAGAAGGTTACATTGTCTATAATCGGAAAGTCTAAACTTTACCGAAAGGTGGTGTAAATCCCTAGATCTAGGGTTTCCGTGGGTTTTTAGGCTTGAAGAGGTTCAAATTTGGGTCCAGGAGAAGGAGTAGGTCCTTTATTGGTCTCGATTTGAATGGTGGATAGAGGCTCTGTATCTCTTTCAGTGAGAAGAAGATAAGAGAGAGTTGAGAGAAAACTTGTTTCTCTCTTTGGCAAAAAATGGAACATATGAGAAAAATGACCATTTTCGGCCATATTTTAGGGTTTTATACCCATGTCTTTCAGGAATGGGAATCATGTATTTTAGGGTTGGGTTAATAGCAGTTTTGGTCCTTAGGCATTTGTAGACTTTTCATTTTGATCCTTAATTAAAGTTATTTCTCTTTATGATTTGTGCGTTGTACTTATTTGTTTGTTCATTTTAGTCACTACATATGGTCGTACATGCTTTGGTCGAATGTTTAATATGGTCCTTAAATTTTAGATTTGATGCATTTTAATCCTTAGTTTATTTCAAGTAATATTTATGCCTTGGACCCTTCTAGATTTATTATGTATTTATTTGGATCATTATTTCAACTAGGTTATATGAATAAAATATGGATTTATTGACGATAGGTCCCTAAAGTTCTAGTTTAGTCTTGATTTAGTCTTTTGATTTATTTATTTAGTATCCATGTTTGTTTTAATTTATTAAGTATTAATATGACCCATGTGCCCTAAATATTTTATTAAAATGGTAAAAATGTTCTTATACTAAGTAATAATGATCATTAGATTATATATATATATATATATATAAAAGTTCCTATCAATTTTCAAGAACACATTTTGTAGAATATGCGTGAAAAGTGCAACCTATCGAGGTAGTACAATTCAATAAGAGACGAAAGCGAACTTGAAAATAATCGAGTATACTTTGATAAAAATGAAATAATAATTGTTTTATTTTAATGACAACAATGTCTTTTTGAAGGCATGCTGCTTAAATATTTTATTTTGTATTTGATTCATGACCTTGAATAGATAATAAGGGATATTCCCATATAAAGAGAAGATAAATGGGGTAGCCTTCCCTTTGGAGAACGTGTAAATCCATAGATCTCTTCTCAAAACAGAGAATGTTCCTTTACAAATAATTCAAATATAAATTAGTAAATGTTCAATAAAAAGATTATATTTTAAATTTTGACTCTAATCTACAAGTTCCACTCACTATGACAACATATAAGTGATGGGGAACCAATTTTTGGCGTTGTGGGCGTGCTAATCATTCCTCACACGTAACCGACTATCGAGCCCTTAAAAATGAATCTTTGGTTGTCGTAGACTAATTTTCGTCTTCTTTAAAATGATTTTTCTTAAAATAATTTTTCTTAAAATAATTTAAAAGACGTTTCTAGGTCGACCTATCTAACCCAAAGGTTGATGGTGACTCCCATCATTATTTTAAAAATGTCAAACTATATTTTTTATCTGGTAAAAAAATGGTGTCGACAATCATAATTTCTTAACAAAAGATAGAATTTGACCCACATTTGATCAAACTAAAACTGACTATGAAAAATATGAAACTTAGTTGAATTGAAAGTAGTAGTTTATTTTCTTTTATGTTGATTAATAGTAAAAAATCTAATTTGAGTATATTTAAGTTTCTTTTGTAATTAAATAACTATCTCTAGAGTAAATATGGACGATTAAGGTTAGATGAGAAGTTGTTTCTCTAAATTCCTTTTGTATTCTTCTACTTTCGATATTTGTAAAAACTATCCTCTTTTGTCCATAGTTTTTCTCGAAATAATTTTTCATGTAAAATCTTGATGTCTATTTTATTGTGTGATCATTATATTTTTGTTATTCTTTTACAAATCATGTCAAAGGGATTATGGTTTCTTGTGGTGTATAATGACAAAAGGGTATGTGAGACCTACTTTCCAAAAAATCAATGTGGCCCTCGTTTTTTTTACATCCAATTTGGCCTTCAAACTTAGAAAACAAACCTAATGTGTCCCTTTGACCAATGGTTTCCGTTGTTGACCATAATATATTTTTAATTTTTTTATTAAACATACTTCTATTGGAAATGAGTTATAATATTCTTTTTAAGAAAAAACAATCTCTAGAGTGGTAAGTCTTGTTCTTGTGCACGAAATCGAGAAATGAAGTCTTTTGAATTCATGTCGAACATTTAAGACTTTGTAAAAGAATAAATGTTTATGCTCCTATTGTGAAAATGCCTAAATATGCATAAATGATGTCATTCTAGTGTTGCGGTCTCCACTGTCTTGTAAATCTTTACTTTATTCTCGTTGTCAAGTTATTTACCTTTACTTGGGCCTTTTATCCTTTTTGAATCCTGAACTTGCTTCTCAAAGTTTTACTTCTAATTTCTGGTTAACATTTTGAACATCGTATGAAAACATCATGCCCGAATGTCTTACAGATAGCTCGAAGGACTTATCAAGTAAGGAATTTTGAAAATCACTTTCTTACTTTTCAAAATTTCTTTTTCAGAAAAGGTTCAATGAGAATTTTTAAAAATTATCTTATCATTGTCTCAAAAATCATATGAAAACATCCTGACCGAAGGTCTTACAGATGGCCCGAAAGACTTATCGCCTTGCTCGAAAGACTTATAGATGGCTTGAAGGGTTTAATAATCTTGCTCAAAATACTTTCTGATGGCTCGGAGGACTTAGCACTCTACTCTAAAGACTTACAGAGGACCCGAAGGATTTAAGCATCATGATCGAGAGACTTATTGATTGCCTGAAGGACTTATCAAGTAAGGAACTTTGAAAATAGATTTCTTCATTTTCAAAAAAATATTTTTCAGAAAAGGATTACTGAGAAACTTTGAAAAGCGTTTTCTCCTTCTTTCATATAAAAAATATCATAACAAAACATCATATATCTCGGGAAAAATGACTCACTTCAAAGTAATGATTCTTCTTGATTGTGTTCCTCGATACTTAAGGCTTAGCCACTTTGAACATAATTCCCTTCATTCGAGGCTTGAAATATTCTCTTTCTTCACTCTCTTCTTTTTCTGTAAAAGATCTATAAAAATATGCATGAAATGTGAATGCAATTGTAATGCATGGGGTTTTTGTATACAGAGATGTTGATCATCAATATTTTTCTAGCTTTCAAGTGGAGACCTTAATCTTCCTTTACTCTATCATTCTTGAATATATCCTGCCCCAATATCAATGTGGCAACTTCTCAGCTCAAGCTTGTAATCTTCAGGAGAACAATTTGATTATCTTGTACAATCATGTTTTTCATACCTTCTATCCCATGGTTTCCTCATTAAATCCTTAGAATGAATATTCTCTTTTGAATTTTTCTTCAGTCAGGCATAAGGTCTTGACATCCTTTCTGTCCCTGATTCAATTTCTCAATAAGGATTATTTCTTATGACCCCTTAACCATATGAAGCATGAATGGTTTACCCTCTGAGGTAAGTTTTCCTTATCTTTATATCCTTCCCATACACTATAAGTGGTGAAGCTCATTCTCAATGTTTTCTTGATTTGATTTATAGCTTCTAAGCCTAAGCGACCTTTGCCAATGATTTATTCCCCTAGAGAGAATATCTTATTTGAAAATGTTTTTTCTTCCTCTTTCATTCTCCAAAATGTGAAAAATTTTGATGAAGAAGTTTTGAAAACAAAATGCCACTTATTTTGAGCTCACAATTGAAGCAAATTTTAAAACAAGATTCTATTGAATATCAAGTAAGTCAACTACTCTTTTTAATCATTCAAAAATTATAACCCTTTGACAATTATCAAGATTGAGGCTAATTTTGAGGCTTAGGTTGATTCGGGGAGGTAAAATGTTTCAGGTTGGATTATTTGATTAAAATCCATCATTTTTTGCTTCCGGTGTTCTGATGAAGTAGTCACTATGCTCATTTTTTAGAAATGCACTGGTGCCTAGCTCTTGTGAGTATTTCCAAGTGGTATGACGACTTATCAAAAGATATATAAGATCACCTACTATGCAACACCTGCATAATGTTCATATTCGAGCCACCTTTTCAGGTTTTTAACTCGAATTCTCCTTTTATTTCAAGACATCTTTTACAATTTACGTCTTGAACCCCCTTTATTATTTTTTCCTATCATGCATTAAAGATTTTAGAAAATCCTTTTTGTGAATAAAAAGATTAAATCTGAGAGGCGAAATGAAATCTAAAGATAGTATCTTCCACTTAGAAATCCATGTATAATTAGAAAGGATTTTTCAGGCACGTAATATAGGCCAGGGCTCACGGTTATGAAAGAAATAGATAAATATGCCCAAACAAGTGTTTAAGGGAGATCGAACTAAGGATCAATTCATTCTAATGCCTTTAATCTTGTCTTTCCCGATTTGAATCTGCTTGCAACTTTTTTTTGGATCACTCTAGACTGCCCATTTATGGGTTTTCTCCCTAGAGTTCTTGACCTTTCCAAAAATATCACATCTAAAACTCTGAACAAGTTGAATGTTTAATTTTGAAGATAACCAAACACAAGAGACTTCATGCACATTCTTCTCATTCTATTTCTTTTTCTTATTTTCTTTTCATTTTTTTTCTTTTCATTTTTTTTCTTCTCATTTTTTCTTTTTCTTTCTTTTTATGAAATCAGAACCTCAATGTCTTACAAGCAGAAGTCACTTCCTATTTATTGAAACATGTATTCTCGTTCCTTGCCTATAGTTTACAAGGCTTCATCCTCGTATTTCGATCAAAATTCACTTTCCATGTGAGCAAACGTTTTCTTCATCTATGCCCCTAGTGTCTAATAAAATCTAGAATGATTTTATTTACTCATACGAGCATATTTCCTTCACCTTTCCCCATAGTGTAAAAAGTGATCCTTGCTTAGAGTTGAATCAGAAAAAGAAAAATAATTTAGGCTCAAGTGAGGATAACAAGGGATATATATTTATTTTTTTGTGAAGGGATAATGAAAAAAACCATTCATCAGTTCATACATAGTAATCCTTGCAAAAGAGGTATCCCAGGGGGATAATTATTCAGGATTAAATTTTTTTCACATGAAAACAATGTAATTAATGCATAATTGAATTATTTCAATTATTCCCTTTATTTCTTCTTTTTCTTCTTCTTCTTCTCATTCCTGGTATGCCCGATTATTCAATCTTATCTTAAAAACTTGATCTAGGAGGCTCCATTTCATTTTTCTTGAAGGAAGATTCACACATGGATAGATGTCTTGTATTCAATATCTTTGGGGTTTTATTGAGGTTGATTTTACGTCTAAAAATGTGAGAGTGTGACTTTGAAGTCATATCTTTGGAAAAAGGTAATGTTATGGAAAAATCAGCTCTACTTGAGAAGGTAATAGTATAAACTTGTTGCCTCAAAAAAGAATAGAGTATGGCTTCGGGATCTGGGAGAGATGTCACCTCAAGATTCAGCCTTTTGGTAGTGATCATAAATTATTTGAGGTAAAAAGTCAAGTGATTGTACTTTTGGCTTTGAACAAGATACGAGAGGTTTAATCTTGCCACATACCAAAGATCTATAATTCTTGAAGAATTAAAAGAATATTTAACTTATTCGATATTTAAAGAACTGCAAGATTAAAATGTTTTATTGCTTATAACCTTAGAAAGTGACATATGTTCGATCATCAAACATTTTTATAAATATTTATGTAAATAGAGAAAGAAAAGGCAAAAAAAAGTTCAAACAAAATGAAATGCATTTTCATGAAAGTGCGGCAAAACTTCATGGTGGAGGAAATAACTACTTTTTGGTTCGCCTCAAGATGCCCCCATTATTCGTCAGTGGTGTATGCCCTTAAATTAATTAAGTTTTGGACCTTGTGCTTAAGTACCCCATAATTCTTTGTAGTGTGAATAAGATAGCACGATTAGAACCACTAGCAAAGAGTCCTTCATAGTTTAACTCTATGTTTTCATGATCGAATACATGTAAAAAATGCTTAAATAAATGGTAGTGCATAATGTATAGATACAAATACAAAGATGCAAATGCGGGATACAAATGAAAATGAAAATGGAGTTAATCCCAACGATGAATATCATAGAAAAAGTTTCATTGGAGATCAAAGTACTCGCTTTACAAAGTAGTCTGTTTTACAGAGATGCCTTTGCCTGAGCGCTTGGTCTAAAATACAATGATGTTTTATCTTGGTGCTTTGTTCTCAAAGACTCGATATCTCAAGTGCTCCATGATCCTTTGAGCTTATGTAAAGGCTTTCTTAAAAGTATTGATCATATCGGATGATGTCCCTTTGATACCCTTTAATCTCAACTGACATGCCATTGATTAACTTTGATGCATGATTCTTCGAGCTAGGGGTGTAAACGAGCCGAGTCGAGCTCGAGTATTGCTGAGCTCAATTCGAACTAGAAAACTTTAAACGTAAGCTCGAATCGACTCGAAAACTCAAGAGCTAAAAATTATCAAGACTCGAACTTGAAAATGAATATTAAAACTCGACTCGAACTCGAAAAGGCTCGAACTCAAAAGAATTTCAAGAGCTCGATTAAAGCTCGAGAGTCGAGCTCGATTGAAGCTTGATTCAAGCTCGAACTCACCAACTACGTCTCTCCTATAGTGGGGGACTGGGGAGACCTTAGGTGAGCGCCCCTCCCAAGTGCAATGGAGATCGCTTACCTAAGCCATGAACCTTGATGATCGTCCATTGACTCCGTCCAGGTAAGTATGTTGAAAGGAGGTAGGTGCTTTTTATTTATAATTCCAAATAAATGGTCCACTCATGTACTTCCCCAATGTGTGATATTGCTTCAGGGTATAGTAGCTTCACTTAAAGAGCTTCGTGCAGATTATAACCGGCTCATAGCAGTTGAGACGATAGAAATGTTGGAGGTTTTATCCATGCGCTATAATAACATCAAACAATTGCCTACAACGATGACATCTTTGACAAACCTGAAGGAACTAGATGCCAATTTCAACGAGCTGGAGTATTTGCGTCAGAGTTTATGTTTTGCCACCACACACGTGAAGATGAACATAGGCAACAATTTTGCTGATCTCCGATCCCTACCAAGGTCTATTGGGAACCTTGAGATGCTTGAGGAGTTGAACATTAGCAATAATCAGATCTGGGTCCTCCCAGATTCTTTTAGGATGCTAACACGCCTTCAAGTTCTACGTATGGAAGAAAATCCCCTGGAAGTGCCTCCTAGGTCTGGGTCTCTACTCCACGCTCCATGTTTGTAAAAGAACGAGTAATGGTAGATACGAAGGGGACATGGACAACTGTCAAGGCCAACACTTATATTCCAATCTCAACTAATATATTGTTATACTCAATTAATATAATTTTTTCTAACGATGGACATATATTAACAATACAAGCTTTTATGTGAGTAGACATAAATGGGTTTATGTGTTAGGGTTTAGGGTTTATGATTTAGGGTTTATAGTTTAAGGTTTAAGGTTCATTACAAAGACATTAATTAATCGACTTGGTACCGATTTATGAGGTAAGTACAATATAGTATCTTGATATTAAATGCTCAAACTCTTGATATTTTTGATATTTGAACCCGAAACCTCAAAATATAACAACAATTTAAAAAATTAGTTATTAAAAATATTATCATTAGAACTATATTAAATATTTGTCATTAGATAAATAATTTTTTTTATTAATTTAAAATAAATATAAGAATATTTATTCAAAAATAATTTTTGAGGGTAGTTGTATTATAGAATTTTTAATATATTTTAAAAATTTTATAATTATCAATAGTGTATTTTTAATACATTTTTTAATAATGTAATTTTAAAAAATCTAAAATTATAATATAACATTTTTTTTCGAGCTGCTCACGAGCTTTTCGAGTTGAATATCGAGTAGCTCGTTTCGGCTCGTTAAGAACTCGAGTCAAGCTCGAGTCGAGTCCATTCAATCTAAGTATTTATCGAACCTTGATCGAGTCGATCTCGAGTAGCTCACGATCTGTCTCGTCTCATTTACAGCCCTACTTCGAGCGAGCTTTCTACTTATTTTCTTTGAGCTTCTCCAAGCAGTCGATGCATGTCCGTGTATGATACTACTTGATTGAAAACTTTTTTCTCCTTTGAAACATTTCCACTTTGATATTTAATTGTATATTAACATCTTTTCATTATGTCGTGATGATGTGATGCAAAAAGATGAAAATATCATAAAACAATAAGAAATGAGTCAGTACAAGTAAGGTAATTGATGAAGGTAAAATATGTTATTCAGATATGATTTTAGCACCTACTTCATCATTGTATCGACCCAACGTGTTTTTATTAGATACCAATCCTACCCAGACATGCTTTGTACCCGACATGCTTTATTTCAAGAAATTAAACCTAACTGCATGGTATCTAGTTCGAATGCTTTCATTCTAAAAGAAATATATTCTATTAATTAAAAAGAAAAGGGTAAAAGTTTAGAGTCGTTCCTCTTTTTTGAACACCTATTTTGGTACCTATTGACAGACAAAGGTTCAGTATGACTCTATATAGGGTGACCAGTCTATGGTTCACTACATACATAGTTTTGGCTTTATGGGAAAAGGGTACTCAAATTATCCTTGATGTTAGTCCCCCTTGGGTTGTCGAACCCTCGATCCTCACCCATTACATGCTTCAAATGGAACGAGTTCAATTCAAGGAGATCTCATCCCTGTATCTATACGAGGAAATAAATTCCCACAGAGGTACAAGGCATGTATCTTAGAGGCTAGTAGCTATATCTCATATGGGGAATAAATTCACAATGAAAGCATAGTGTTCACCCTTACTTAAAAAGGACAGAGCTCGGGTAAAGAGCTTATGTCATGCTAGTGCACATGATGTGCGTGAGAAGGAACTCACAAACCTTAGACCAGACACAAAACAATGATAAATACTTTCGGAAAAGAAAATTCAATGAAGCTGCAAAAATAAATTCAAATATTAGTATAACAATTTACATGAAGAATGAAAAATAAACTAATCAATGTTCAATAAAAAGGACCACAAGTTAATTTTGGACTCGAATCAACAATTTCTATCACTAAGATGACATATAAGCGACCAACATCCTGACTCTCTAATTTATCCTCAACAGAGTTGTCAAGCTATTGATACCATTTTTTACAAGATAAAAAACTATAGTTCGACATTTTGAAATGATGATGGGAGTCTCATCGACCTTTGGGTTAGGTCGGTTGAATACTTAGAAATTTCTTTTAAACTAATTTTAAGAAAAATAATTTTAAAGACGAAAATTAGTTTACATCAACCAAATATTCATTTTTAAGGGCTCGGGAGTCGGTTACATATAGGGAAGAATTAGTACCCCACAACGCCCAAAATTAGTATCTGATCGCTTATATATTGTCATAGTGGTGGAAGTTGTAGATTAGAGTCGAAATGTAAAATATAATTCTCTTATTAAACATTGACTAAGTTATATATAATTATTTGTAACGGAACATTCTCTATTTTGAGAAAATATCACAAGATTTACACGTCCTTCAATGGGAAGGTCACCACAAAAACAAATACATTGTCATCTTTAAAATAAAATAATTATTATTTCATTTTTTTCAAATTATACTCGATTATTTTCAAGTTTACTTTCGTTCGAACGTTGTACTGAATTATACTACCTCAATAGGTTGCACTTTTCATGCCCATTCTACAAAATGTGTTCTTGAAAATTGATATGAACATATATATATATATATATATATATATATATATATATATATATATATTAACTAATGATCATTATTACTTAGTATAAGAATATTATTACCATTTTAATAAAATATTAGGGCATATGGGTCATATTAATACGTAATAAATTAAAACAAACATGAATACTACATAAAAAAAAATCAATATACTAAATCAAGACTAAACTAGAACTTCAGGGACCTATCGTCAATAAATCCATATTTTATTCATATAACCTAGTTGAAATAATGATCCAAATAAATATGTAATAAGTCTAGAAGGGTCTAAGGCATAAATATTACCTAAAATAAACTAAGGATTAAAAGTCATCAAATATGAAATTTAAGGACCATATTAAACATTTGGCCAAAGCATGTAAGACCATATGTAGTGACTAAAATGAACAAAAAAATAAGTACAGTGCGTAAATCATAAAGATATATATATATATATATATATATATATATATATATATATTAACTAATGATCATTATTACTTAGTATAAGAATATTATTACCATTTTAATAAAATATTTAGGGCATATGGGTCATATTAATACGTAATAAATTAAAACAAACATGAATACTACATAAAAAAAAATCAATATACTAAATCAAGACTAAACTAGAACTTCAGGGACCTATCGTCAATAAATCCATATTTTATTCATATAACCTAGTTGAAATAATGATCCAAATAAATATGTAATAAGTCTAGAAGGGTCTAAGGCATAAATATTACCTAAAATAAACTAAGGATTAAAAGTCATCAAATATGAAATTTAAGGACCATATTAAACATTTGGCCAAAGCATGTAAGACCATATGTAGTGACTAAAATGAACAAAAAAATAAGAACAGTGCGTAAATCATAAAGAGATAAAACTTCAATTAAGGATCAAAATAAAATGTCTACAAATTCTCGATGACCAAAATTGCTATTAACCCAACACCAAAATACATGATTCCCCCCTTTTAAATGATGTGGTTTGGAATAGAGTATAAAACCCTAAAATATGGCAAAAATGGCCATTTTCTCTCCTTTGTTTCCTTCTTGTTTTTTTTTTGCTAAAGAGAGAAACAAGTTTTTTCTCAACTCTCTCTTCTCTTCTCCTCACCGAAGGAGGCACAAAGCCTTTGGCTGTCGCACGCCAGTCCTGCCGCCGCCCGTCCACGATGTCCGACACTTAATCGAAACTTGAAAAGGACCTACTCCCCTCCTAGACCCAAATCCAAACACCTTCAAGCGTAAAAACCCACAAAACCCTAGATCTAGGAATTTATCTTCGGAAAACACCACCTTCTGGTGACGTTTATACTTTCTGGTTATAGACGAGGTAAGTTTCTCCTTTCTTATTCCTTCATTCTTTCTTTTGTCATTCTCTTTATGAAAATGGCTCCCCTCTCTTTTCTTTCTTTTCTAAAAAAACCCTTCCATTAGCTTCATTTTTTTGTTTATTTATAACAAATAATTGTCCCCTCTTTACCTTTGGTATTGCATGTTAGATCTTTTCCCCTATTTTGGTTATGGTCTCTCTAACTGAAGGGGCGATGATGGGAGGAAGAGATGAGTAAATTTTTTTACTCAATGCCTCTCTTGTCGTTTCCTGCAGTGATCGAAGACAAATCCAATGAAGGATCTGAAGGCGACAATGTTAGCAGCTTGTATGGGGAACCGACAATGAGTTACAAATGACTTCTCGATTTGGCGCGTGGACACGTGAACGAACAGAGGCAACATGTGGCTACACCATGAGTTAGGGAAAAACCCTAATCTGGGTCGATCTTGATCCAACGACAGGGAGAAGTGGTTGTGCCAGAGCTAAAGGGTGAAACCCTAGTCCCTTTTCCTTTTCACACATGGGCCATTATTGGGCCTCATTGTAATTTTAATTATTATTTTTTGGCTAGGATTGGTTTATTGTAATAATAATACTAATAATAATAATAATAATTTTAGGGGATAAAAATGGTGATTACAACAACCAAAGAG